CTCCTCACCTGGGTCTCCCTCCGATTCCAGCGTTCCTCAGATCATCTCCCGCCCAGGGAGTTAGGACCCGGATCGAAGGGACACCGTCACGGATCCTCCAGCGAAGACCGTTTCGCAAACATCTTACGGTTCTCTGCATCTTCTCCGCTTATTGCCAAGGACAAGCGCGGATGGTTGCTCGACCCCATTTCGGTCGCCCTCGATTCTGCTATTCCAGGTCGCCCCTTCCGTTCTCGTTTTTTTTGTATGCAATTATTCTGTGCATTCTGATTCTCTCACCCATGTTAGAAATTGAATTGAGGGGGAACTATGAATCGGCTGATGCAATCAACTACCTTAGTATCATTGAATTGTCTTTCAATGGGAAATTCTATTAGAGTAGTTATTAGTTCTTCCTGTAGCATGGACAATTTAGGGTTTCGTTATGTTGTCCCATTTTGTCAATTTTTGTGTGCAAAGTTTGTCTGCCAAGTGATTTGATTTCCAAGTTAAATTTGATTTGAGGCTTTTTGTGGAACCTAACTTGCATGGAAATGAAATGTTTGTTAAAACAGGCGGAGCAACAAGTTGTGCATCCATTCATGTGGGTGAGATCAAGCCCGGTGGTTTAAGGGGGAACCATAGGCATCATACGTGCAACGAGACATTTGTCATATGGGGAGCTCAAACACTATTCCGGGTAATAAAATCTTGCTTCATTATCATATTTTTATTTTGGTTGCTGTCTATTTCAGTATGAACACATGGAGTAATAAAGAGTTTTATGGTTTGTATGATGGACCCATAGGTTTAGTTGTACGTATTACTAGACTTAATTACTTACTGGTTGGAGATAGTGTCCTATAAGGCATTGATGGCAGCTCTTGTCCTCAAGACCTGAGAATGAGAGGATCTCACAAAAGTACTAAACTTTGTGTATGTGTCACATGTATTTAAGTATCTTTTGACAAGTATGTAATTTGACACCAGTGTATAAATGTTAAGGTCTTCAAAGAAAAACTAACAAAGTAACAATAATATTTGAATTTGTTCTCACCCAAAACATTTATGACATCTCAGACTCTTCCTGTCTTCATGTTTTTATTTTGTTTACTTTTATGCTTTTTGCATCTCTGGAAAATTCCAAAGTATCAAGTATACTAAAGTTTAAAAAATATACATCTATCTCTTCTTCTCATCGGCTCTTGGTTGATGACTCTTAGTATAAATGAGGAAGTATTTATTTGTACATTCTAGAATTTTTATCAAATTCTTTTCATAACTATTCTTGGTATTTAATCCACCTGTACTTTTAATTGTAATTTATTTCTTGTTGTTATTACAATAATATCAGTGGGCATACAAAACAACTTTGTACAAATTGAAATGTATAAAAATAATTAACATTACAATTATGTTTAAATTTTATACTTAAAAACAATACATGAGACCCGTAACAATTTAAAAAAAAACATGCCATGAATGTTTGTTATATAGGCTATGTTTGGCCCGAGAAGCTGAAAAGATCTTTTTTAGACTTTTATAAATAGCCATGTTTGGCAAAACTTACTGTTGTAAGTAGCTGAAATTATAAATTACAAATTAAGGGCATGAACAAATATTATAAATTAATGAAAAAATAGAATACATGCATGCACATAGCTAATACGAAAGAGTACGATTTTTTTTAATCTCAATTAAAATATTCTGATTTTTAGGATGGGCATAAAGCAATTCCTACGAACAAGAAAACCCATTAAAAGCATCAAATCGAATAAAGAAAAGAAAAAAAGAGTATACAAATATGTATAAATTTGAGGTCAATTTACCGCACAACATACTCTTTTTTTTAACAAAGCAAACATTCTTTTATTAGTTAAAAACTCAGGCCCGTAGATCAGAACATCATGACACATTTATAAGGGAAAGTAAACATACTTTCGAAGTATAAATTAGTAAAATTTATACTCAAATAGTCAACACGAAGAACAGAGTATAAACTTTACTCAAATTTATCAAATTTATTAGTAAAATCCTTTTTTGATGTATACTTCTAATTAGTCAACACGAAGTTCAAACAGAGTATAATTTTTACTCAAATTTATCAAGTTTGAATACAACACTTTGGTTACAGATTAATGAATTAAATTAAAAAAAAAATCAATGAACACATGGGCTAAGAATAAATATCGATGAGGAGAAGAATACCTGCAATTGTTTTTGAAGAACAATGAAGATCAAGACTAAACGAATAATGGTGTTGAAGGGTATGAAAGGCTTGTGCGCAGAGATGGAAAAGGCTTGGCGCAGGGATATTACAGAGAACGGCAAAGTTTTTGAAAAGATCTTTTAGGTTGAACGCTACCTTAGGTATGTAGCATCTCATAAAAGACTCAGACTTCTCATAAAAGCTATCGGGCCAAACACACAACTAGAAGCTACCCACTTTTGTGTGCCAAATATGCTCATAATAATCATGGTGCCACTGCCCACTTATCTATGTCTCACTGACTTTATGCATATTCTTACTGACAGTTAGAAAATACTGCAGTTGAAGTAGGTTATGCTCAGGTTATAGTCGGTTGGGACGAGGTTGCCGTTGCGGTAAGCCGTAGTGGAACAGCTCATGCTCTCGTTAATGTAGATCCTTCCCGAACTACATTCTTCATCGGGTGCCAGGATAGCATTGTTAACTACACAGACTCCAGGACTGATTTTAACATTTGGAATAACTTATAATCTCATCCTTTGTATGTCAAGTTCCCTTTATACATATATGTTATATACCGAGGTAATAGTTTTAATCGTTTCTTCTGATACCTGGTTTTTTGAGACATCAAATACAACCAGTGCACATGAAGAGGGATGCTTGCTGCTCCATATAGCTTTGGCTCATTACCTCATTTTTGCATTCAACCATCAGAATGAGTCTTTTTGGGGTTACTTGATGTATGCACGATTTTGATTGGTGACTATTTGTGTTTATTAACTAAAATTAAATCAAGGAAATAGGAAAAAATGTTTCAGTTTCCCTGTGTTTTCTATTTTCCAGTTATGTGGTTTTAGTGTTGTATTCTTTATTTGCTGATTTCTAAACTCGCTAATCTTAAGACCACCTGCAATGGTCACTGAAGATGACTGCAGGTGTCTCTCCTCTGTAGTCGTGGTAGTTGTCGATGGCGTTGGTAGTGGTAGAGGTTGGTTGCTGTGTTGGTCGGATGACTAATAATTATGAAAGCGGCCCTTGGTGGTGAAGGGGTGGATCGGAGAATCTGAATTGGATTGGGGCTAAACATAAACATTAACGTAATGAGCTAAATATGAAAAATGAAATATTGAAAGAAATTAAGCTGTCTTAAATTTTATCCCACTATAGTAGAAGGTGGTTGCTGGCAGTATCGACATTTGTTAGCAATAGATGCAAATATTTTTGAGAAAATTGCTATTGCTATTGCTAAGACAAAAAGATAGACTTTTCCCCAAAACAGGACTTAATGTTTGGTTTTCCCTAAATAGGACTAACCTTACCTTTTTTACCCTTAATTCTATTTAATTAATTAATTGGTCTAAATAATTGCCCCCTAGTTTCCTTGCACAACCAAGGCAGTCCGTCGGTGGCGGCAGAACTCCGGCAACCGGTCGGCGGCGGATTCCGGCGGCGGCGAACTCCGGCAATTAATTAACCCAAATAATTGCCCCCTAGTTCTCTTGCACAACCAAAGCAGTCCGTTGGTAGCGGGGCAGTCCGTTGGTGGCGGCGAACTCCGGCGGCGGCGGCTGCCGGAGGCAAAAACACTGGGGAACGTCCAGAAAAAAATTCTGGAAAATTTTCCGCCGGTGGTCGCCGGAGCTCCGGCGGCGGCAGCAGCAGCAGGTGGTCGGCGTCAGGCAGTTGGCAGTAGTCCAGGAGCAGAAATAGGGGTATTTTGGTCCAATCACACATAAAAAGTCCTATTTAAGAATGTTTAAACTAAGTAATCCTATTTTGGGAAAAATGTTATGTTTCACTCCTATTAGCCTAATAGTATTAAGGTAAAAACCCCAATATTTTTGAGTTGCGGGTAGTTGTAGAGAACTAGATTCTCACTGGATGCACGAAATATATGGGGGAAATAATTAAACTACTCCAAACTTTAATGGGGTGTGAGATAAGCACCCCAAACTTGCATATGTAATTTAAATACCCCAAACTTTATATAAAAAGTTATTTTAGCACCATTGTCATGTATTATTTCTTTCAAAATATTAATTTTTGGTGTTTATTTCTAATGTTTTCAATTTGCTATTTTAAATTATGCATTTAACACCATAAATTTATAATTCGAAAGAAACAAATAATAAATTTTGGGGTATTTAAATTACATGTGAAAGTTTGAGGTGTTTATCTCACACCCCATCAAAGTTTAGGGTATTTTAATTATTTTCCCCTAAAATTTAATAGTAATGTTGTTTATTTGCATTAACAGTAACACCAAAGAATCATAAAATTATACTCCGTAATGTATAAATATGGAAAAGAAAATAGAAGTAAATAATAAATAGTTTTTTTTGAAAGGAAAGCTCGCATTATATTAAATCATTAGAAACGGGATCGTTACATGAGACACATAAAGACTACTAATAGCAATTATCCTCCACCCACAGCGAAATTCAACCCTACGAATAGACATAGAAACGGCCACCCTCAAATGAGCAACACGAATCGCTAGACGTGTAGCGGGTTTAAACCAGTTATAACTAACCAAGAAGATCCCCTAACATCTAACAACATAATACTTCGCTGAACTCCCCGTACCTAAATAAGCAATAACGACTTCAAGAATGAAACTGACAACAAAACAAAACACGAGAAAAGGAAAAACCAAATTGGACTGAAAATAACAAGTACTACCTCCGTCCCTAATAAAACTTCCAGTTACGGATTACGAAGTTTGACCAGCAATAAAGTTAAATGATCCTTGTGAAAACTCGGATTATTTTTAGTAAATAAAGTTTACATATTCAGAAACTACATTAAACCCGCTACAAAGCCTGCAAAAAATAATTCAATTTTTATAAATTTTGATATATAAAGTAAGAGCATCTCCAATGAGATGCTTTTAACAGTCAAAAAAATGAGCCACGTAATGTTCTGCTAAAGTGTTTCAATATTTTTGCTCCAATGCTCTCTTTATTCGGAGAAGTTATGCTGAGTTGTCACAATTTAATGTCAACAGTTTCAAACCCACTTTCCCATTCTCAAAAGCCAGTTATACAGCGTGAGTCAGCAAATTAATTCTCCGCAAAAACTACCCAGATGGTAAAATAGCGCTTATTTCACAAATTTCGTAAAATCTGGCGCCTATCTCCCAAAAAATGCCGCCAATTATATTTGATAGAGAAGCCGGCAATATATAATCATCTTCGGCCATACCTGGGAAGCTAGAAATTCTTTTTCCATCCTATTCAATTTTTCTGCCCTAGCTTCCAAATGTTGATCGGTCATGTACCCCAATCCCAGGAGTCCGAAAATCAAAACTAAAAGGAGTTTTCTGCCTCTGTAGCGGGGATTGACCAGGTATGTGGAGATGTTTCCTGAACTTAGTCTTTATCATTATTCCTTTTGGAAGAGTGTTAATCTGGTTAATACAAGATGAATTAATATGTCCTATATATATCACTCTTTTTTGTATTTGAGATGGAAAATGTAATTTAACAATTTACTCACTACCCGGCCTACTTCCTATGTTTCTGGAAGTGTTTTTATTTGCATATGTTGATGATTAATTACTTAAAGAGCATCCTTGGATTTTATTAATTGCTGTGTAGATTTTGTTTTGTTATAACTTCTGCAACTTCAAAAAATCCTCTATAAATTGTGCTAATGATTGAAGCTGATAGCAAGCGGTTTGATATGTTTTCTGATTGATTGAGTAAAGCCATGGCTTTTTGGAAAATGTTAGAGCTATGCAGCCCAAAGCCACCTACAACATATAATCTCAGACTCCTCTGATTATTTTGAAAGTTGAATTGAATGGCTTGTAGATAATTGATTTCGGAATGTCCATTAAACTACTAAAGTAATACTAATTATATGAGGGCAATTGACATTTGAAGTGGAACTTGAAAAATCATTATGAGCACTACAGGGTAATATTTATATATCAAAATTATTTGTATTTTCCTGCATTATATTAAAATGGTTTTCTTCTTTTGATCCTATATGTAGAAGTGCATTATATTGAGAATTTATGAAGTACTTTATATTACTGTCATGTCTAGCTCTGCATTATTTTAATAAACCAGTCCAGGTAAACAGAAATGTGGGACAACTTCACAATTTGGTATAACAATTATAGTGGTATATTGTCCATCTTCAATTCTTCTTTTTACACAATTGTTGTCCTCCTTTGTCATATTTATGTCTCTAAGATAACCTCTTTTTTAGGGAGTGTTGGTGATCCGTGGGAAGTATTACAACACCTAAAAATGGACTCACAAGACAATGTTAATCTTTCATTTTCTAGCATTAGTGAATCTGCCAATTACACAATGCCATCCTATAATTTGAACCAGTTCAGTCCGTTGAACATTCCGATGCAGCCTATGTATCATTTTGATCAAAGTAATGGATCATATGCTATTCATGTTGATCAACAAAATGTGCCTAGATTCTCCTTTCAAAACATGATGAATACTCCTGCTGCTACTCAAAACTGTGAGACTATGAATGGATCAACTAAGAGGGTTAAGCACATTAAAGACCCCAATGCCCCTCCACTTGCAAAACTTAAGAACGACTGGACATCAGAAGAGGAGATTGCATTGACAGAGGCATGGTTGCATATATCTATGGATGCTGATGTTGGAACTAATCAAAAGAGTACAGCTATGTGGAATCGTATACTAGAAGTCTGGAAGGAGAAAATGGGACCTGGGCATAAAAAATCTAGAAATAATAACAGTATACAGTGTCATTGGTTCCAGATTCGAGGTGCAGTATCCAAGTTTGTTGCGAAATATGAGCAACTAGAAAGATATCCAAAAAGTGGTAGCAACTCAGAGGACTTGGTAAGAGCATTATCTTGTTTTTAAATTTAAAATACTTTATGAATGTCATATTTCTTTTTGTTTTCTGTAGCTAAGGAATGCATTGGAGTTATACAAAGATTTTTATGGGACTCATTTCAAATATCTCCATTGTTGGACTATTTTGGTCAAGAATCCGAAGTGGTGTTCTACGAATCTTACAAAGACTGGTGTACAAGCTAAAGGAAACACTGATCAAGAGAATTCTCCACCAGTAGATGACTCTCCAGCTAGTATCATCAAAGATCAAGTTTTGCCTGAAAACATTAACCAAGAAGATGTTGTGCGTCCACAAGGAAGGAAAGCTTGTAAAGAGAAAAAACGAAAGCTCAATGAACAAAACGACGTTGTGGATGCATTGAATAAGATGCAAAGTAGTTTGGATAAACAAGTCAATTTCAATATTTCGAGATTGGAGTTGAAAAAAGAGAAGGATGAAAAAGAACTTCAGCTAAAAGAGCAAGTGATGAAAGAAGAGATAGAACTGAAAAAAAATGCTCAAAAGTTTAAGGTGGAAGCACATGCAATGAGGTTAAAAGAACAAAGGAGGCAAGACATCATGAACCAAGATCTAAGCAAGTTATCCCAACCAATTCGAGCCTCTTTTGAAGCCATGCAAGCTCAGATTATAAAACAATGGCAAATAGATGGCCTCTTCTAAATAGAGGCACCAATGGTTGATGTTTAGGTTTAGTATAGTACTTTGTCCCACTCTTGGTTGGCAGGTTCTTTTTTACTATGCTCTTTAGTACATGTTTTATATTACTGATTTTTTTTTTACTATGCTCTTTGGTACTATGTTCTTTAGTACAGGTTCTTTTTTACTATGCTCTTTAGTACTATGCTCTTTAGAATGAATTTTTTTATTCCATTTATATACTTCATTAAGTTTAGCTAATACAAAATGCCCAGCGGTGTGGACTGCTACCCTTTTTTGCTTACATACTTAGAAATTGTATAATCTCTATATATGGTCCATGGATAGTGCAATTCTGGAAATATAACTCAACCCCATTCCCTATATAAAAAATATAACATTCCAGTAGAAACCTAAGAAGGAGAGTGATTATCTATAAACCTGAATCCAATGTTCAATGTTTGTGATTATTATAATTGTATTATACATAGATATTCTTGGTTTAATATAGGCAACTGTTACAAAATGATTTCATTATAAAATGATTCCAATTGTTAGAGTTGTGAAAGTGAACGAAGCCATGCTTGAGGTTTTTTTTAAAAAGCAATAAGCCTTCAACACAGATCACTTAAAATTCCATTTTGCCCAATTATACGTAGCTGCATATATTCTGTTCTATGCATAAGTTGCCTTGAGCCCATTTTCTAACGTTCAAAAGTTTTCTACATTTACAAGTGCTGCTTTGATGAACATATGCTAACGGATCATGTGTTTGGATTTAGATCGAAGATATTTATATATATAGATAGATGAACTGTAATGTAAGACATGTAAATCGTCGTACCAAATTGCTATACTTATGGCTCACACATAAACGGGTTTTGCAAGCAAAAAATGTCTAAGGAAGCAAACCAAGTATATAACTAAAGCACGCTCACTATATAAAAAAATCTGTCCATTGTTTCACATTTTATCATAAACAGAGTATGAATTAAAACATCTAATAGAATAAAAAAACTAAAAACTAAAAACCATGCAGTACGAAATGAATAATCAAAACATTCAAATATAAGACTGATCATCAATCAACTTGGTTGCTGCCATATAGTTCCCACAAATGGTTGATGAGATCACGCTTCAAGTCTATATGTGTCGATTTGCTTTGTACTTTTTTCATTCGAATATTCATCATCGACATTAGAAAAGTAAAATCATGCTCCAAAGTAACATTTTGAAGAACTTCCTCTTTCTCTGGTTGCCAATTTTCAGGGTTGATTCCATGACCACTTTCATCCTCAATAATCATATTATGCAAAATGATGCATGTCTTCATTATTTTACCCAAATCTGTTGCGCTCCACATACGTGCCGGTCCTTTAACTATACGCCACCGACTTTGTAACACTCCAAATGCTCGTTCGACATCTTTTCGTACTGATTCTTGCCGTTTTGCAAATAACTTTTCCTTCATAGAACATGGTTGTGAGATTGTTTGAACTAAAGTAGCATATTGGGGATAAATACCATCAGATAAGTAATACCCCATATTATATTGATGACCATTTACTATGAACTCACATGCCGGGGCAACATCATTAACAATATCGTCAAACAAGGGAGATCTATCAAGGACATTGACATCATTATTAGTACCCGCCATGCCAAAGAATGCATGCCAAATCCATAAATTATGTCCGGCTACAATCTCAAGAATAAGAGTTGGAACTTTTTTAAACCCATTAGTATGTGTTCCATGCCATGCAGTCGGGCAATTTTCCCAATGCCAATGCATGCAATCTAAACTACCAAGCATACCTGGAAATCCACGAGATTCTCCCTCTGCTAATAAAAGGCTAATATCTGATTTATTTGGTCTCCTTAAATATTGTTCTTCAAATAATCCTATTATAGCATCACAAAATTTCTTTAAACTTTCGATTGCAGTGCTCTCTCCAATTTGCAGGTATTCATCAAGAGAATCGGCTGAACATCCATATGCAAGCATGCGTACGGCCGCTACCACTTTTTGTAAAGGACTCAACCCCATATTTCCAGCTGCATCCACCTTTTGGGTGAAATAATTTCCATAACCTTCAACAGCTTGCAAAATTCGTTTGAATAGATTAATATCCATTCGAAACCGACGCCGAAATGTATCTGGTGTATACTTTGACTGCTCACCTTTGAAATAATCACTAAATATTATATCATGGCGCTTTTTTCTATCACGTCGAATATACACTCTACCGAATTTTGAACCGCCATGTGGAAGCTTTCTTTCCACTGACAATGTCGAAATTACCACAGGAACATGAATTGCACACGCTTCAATTAAATTGCTATTTGATTCATCACAAGAGGAATCTTCTGTCAATGGCTCATCGAGTAGCTTTTTAACAAGTGAGAGGGATTCTGTGCTTGATGTTCCGGTGCTAGAGTCTGATTCATTGTTCAACAATGACATTTATTGTAATTTGAACCTATTCACAAATACGTAATAAGTTTCCCATCATGTTAATATGTTTTTACTTGAATTTCTTTCAGTCTCAGATCAAACTAAAGTAGATCAGACTTAGATAAATTAGACTAGATCAGACTTTAACTGATTACAATTTTGTTTGTTGGAAAATACACGTAGACCAGACATGAACATGACCAAGCAAACCAGTTCGAACCAGAAAATTTCAATTGAATAAAAGAAAAAGTCAGAGTTGCATTATTTTTAATTGCACTAGGAACTACGATAACATTTATAAAACAATAAAATATTTAATAATACAAAAGTAATGATGTTATTACATCCAATCACTTTAATTTTACCATATGTACGTATCTTATTACTTTTTCATCTAAAAGAAAATTAAATTAATTAAAGTAAATTATTAAAATTAACCTCCTTTAATATTCCTTGCCTGGAGAAATTGCTTCACGGATCGGAAGTATGTGATCTGCACATTAAAAACAAGAGATTGTATTCAATGGATGAATTTGTTAACAAAATAAAGGAAGGATCAAGAAGAAATTTGTGTACAGAACAAAAATAAATAGAGAGGCAAGGATTTTGGCATTACCGCACTAGACTAGAGCAGTAGAGCTTGATCGTGAAATCTCCCAGGGTTTGAGTTAGAGAAAATTTGGGTTTCCTATTTATTAAAATTGAATTAACATATTCCACCTGTACAAAACGGTTAGACATTAACGTGATCCATTGGGGAGTCTTTTGAGGCTTTACTAGTTTAGGTTTTGACATTACTCCTACATGGATCAACACTCCATACATATATTGACATGTGTCACACACTTTTTACTGTTAAAAGCATCTCATTGGAGATGCTCTAAGAGTTTAAGTGTGATTTAAGCCGACTCTCGAAAAGTGAAATGGAAGTTTATTTAGGGACGGAGGGAGTAGTAACTAATAAAACATTCTTCCAAACTCGACTCGTGCAATTTCTCCATGGTGGCGGTTCAATAGTTCTATAGTAAAGTCTATAGTAAATGGTTAAAATAGCACTATGATTCAATAATATTCGTTGTAATGGAAAATCTGTGTGCATTGCATTTCCCATATATATGAACATGAGCATGGGGTAAATCATGTTTTTGGAATTACACTGTGTATTTTTTTATATTATAACTACAAAAAATGAAAAATCAATACTATAAGTATCTAAATACATAAAATATGTAAGATATATAAACTAAAAAATACGAAGTATAAAATACTATAAAATATAAAAATAAAATAAAAAATACTCCCTCCGTCCCAAAATTAACTTCTCACTTTCCTTTTCGGGTAGTCCTAAAATTAACTTCACACTTCAAAACTTTCCTTATTTGGCAAATAATCTACATAAAAAAGTGTCAAACAGTGCCAAGCAGTGTCAAACAATGTCCAAACAGTGTCAAACAATGTTATAGCAGTGCACTCCACAGTAAAGTCAAATTTATTTTCTTAATCTGTGTGAAGTCAAACTGAGAAGTTCATTATAGGACGGAGGGAGTATAAAAATAAAATAAAAAATATAAAAATATAACATACTAGTATTGTTGAAGTTTATTCCTCCGACTCCAAGGGTCCAACACCTTTCCTTGGGTTTCTATGGATGTTTAATGGATCTAAATAAATGTGATGGCAAAAAACAAATAGCAATAAAAAAGGAGAGTCAATAAATGGACCGAGTTCTTATTAAGCAATCAAGAACAATTACAGCACACCCTACTGGGATCCGAGCGTATTACTGAGTATAGGAAATAAGAGCTATTTCTAGTGAATACAAGTTGCGAACATCTAGCTATGAAATAAATGCTGCTATTTATACTACCATGTGGTAGGTGGTAGTGTTGATGTGGAGAACCATGAGTGGCTAGCTTCTCAAGAACCAAATCTGGTGCATTTAATGCATTTCTCGCCAATATCTTGCCTTTCCAAATGTGAGGGACAATCATATCCGAAGGCCCCTTGAATTTGGGATGTTTTTACTTGGACTGTAATCTGCTGGTCTGATCTGGTCTGAACTGGTCTGGTCTGGTTTGGTCTGGTAATGTCTGGTCTGGTAATGTCTGGTCTCTTTGTATTTTTATAACTATCCAAGTCTCGTCTGGTCTGGTCTGGACTGGGACAAATTACAGTCCAAGTAAAAACATCCTTGGATCCAAACGAACACAAGACCATAGATGCCTCTCAGGCTCCGTCGAGCTTCTCCACTAAGCCCCCTAATAACCGTCTGGCCTGAACTGGGCCAAGGTAGAGGCGATGAGCATCGAATACCCCAGACGAGCGTCGGACATACTTCGTGGGCTGTTACTCTTGGCCCCTTCTCCTTTAGAAGGTATTAGGCCGATTATGTGTGCTAATTACCCCAACAGATATGTAGAATATAAAATCACAATAAAGATAAATTTGCCAATACATTCAACCCTAATCCAACCCAACCCAGTCTAGCTAGTGCTCATGACGATTTGGAGTGGTTTCTATCCCTAATGATAGACCACATGCCATTTATTTTTGAACTATCATCAGTTGATGAGTAGTAAATGGTGGGTGTGATGCTAAAATTGAAAAGAACTGACTTGTATATATAAGAAATAGTTTCAAAGTGAACAATAGATTCGTCAAAACCACTGCATCACGCTTAAACACCAGATGGACAATTAATTGTCATTAGGGTGGGTGATTAGTCAAATCAAATTAGGCAACTAGGCATTCCCTTCTTATGCTTGATTGTGTTAAGGACATTCAATGTAAATGGAATGGATCTCCAAATACAAATAAAAAGATATGGTGCATACCCCCTTTTAACTTTAAACCTTAACCAAAATTCTAGATTTATTTGTTGTTGTGAATAAAAGAATGCCTCAAATATTTCATGGCCAATAAATGTAATGTACTACTTTTGAGTCACTTGACTTTCCCGATTTCCCAAACCTAAGCAAAAATCCAATGTTTATATGTTAAAGACTTTCCACAAACATAAATCAATAATAAATGCATCGTACTCTATTACTCTTCCCCTTGCAAGATCCCAACCACAACCCAACCCCTATATTAAAAATGAGCTTTTTGGCGGGAAAATGCCAGAAATTCCACTTCATTGTGTATATAGTAGGATTTTGGAGTATGTTATTGTTATCCATTCATTAGAAAAATAACATACCCCGCAATAGTTAGATTTGTCGTCAACCATTGCCCAAACTGAGAAACTTAATCGACAGTACAACAAGGATGTGGTATGTTAATATATCCATGGATGAGAACTTTCTCTTATTTGAGAGATATAATCGGAGCTGGCAAAAAAAACTTAATTTGGAGAAAGCAATAGGTCCGATAAAAGGAACCATTCGGACAAGAGATGATACCACACGATAACATATAACTGTGAGAATAATGAGAAAGCCGTACTCCAATAGGAGCCCTGACAGATATATTTATAGTAAAATAGCAGTTGCCAAAATACAAAATTATTCCTAATTAATATAATCTATTACACCCCCTCAAGCTGTGCGGGAGATACAACGCGCATGTTGTCTTTCAAAAAATGAAACTGGTGACTAGACAAACTTTTACCACACGATAACATATAACTTGCTTAAATGCCTTTATGATTTTAAGTCACATTACCCCAAGAAGCCTTTTATTTGAAGAATTCTAGTTTTTTTTGTTTCACATTCCATATACTTCTATGATGATTGATGGAAATACTTTACTCTGATATAAATAGTATTAATTATGACACTCATTGAATTCATTTTTGGGAAGAGGCAAAAGGTTAGTTCCTTTTGTTCTTAAGAAATAACCGAGATGTTCTAAACGATATCAAAACAATTAAACGTTTTTCTCTTTTTCTCACTTCCAAATAAATGCAAAATGAATCATAATAATCTGAAACGTTAAAGAAGTCATCATCTCTAATGTATGATAACCTTCTCCACTTTTATTGTCTCATCATCAACACCTTAGCCTGTCATAATTACTGGACTTGATTTCAATAATAGGGACAAGCTCAAGTGTTGATGATGAGACAGTACAAGCGAGAAACTTTTCCCGTACTCCAGCCATCGGTGGCCGGACCGTCAAGGATATAATAGAGGTGTAGTCTATAGAACCATTTAGCAAATGAAATGAGAACAAAATATAGAAGAACATATACTAACACCAGCAAATGCATTATATTTTCTTTGTTTGAATTGTACTTGGTTATGATCTTCTAAAACTGATGTAAAAAAAATAGTTTGTAAGATCTATAAGTTATTAAACATCCTTCAAATAAAAATGATGAGGAGCGCGGAAGAAAAAGATGGAGGGTGAAAATGCATAGTTAATCTTGCCTTGATGAAGATTCAAAGGTGTGATAGTACTCATTGCTATAATAGAGGTGTAGACCTGGGTGTAGTCTATAGAACCTTTTGAAGTTTGTTTTTCTTCAAAAGTTGATGGTGTGATAGTACTCATTTCTATAGTACTTCATATTAATTTTCTTATTGGAGCAATGTATAAAAAATACAATAAATTTAAAAAATGTTCAATAGAACCTGTTTGAATTAGTATTTCAAATTGTAAGTAATCTCTCTCTCATAAATATTCATGACCAAGGGGGTTGAGAAACATTACGTTACAATTTTGTTTATGATTTTCTGTTATATACACTAAAATATTTGATACAATATGACATTGTAATGTAACTGTGATTTATATATATAAGCATTCAGTATACACAATTTTGTTATAATCGAAGTAATCCGATATTTCGGCATAACAAAATTTAAGTGTATGTCGTTATTGTACTTAAATTAGATGCACTAAATTTTGGTGTATAGGGATATCATGCTCAAATTTCGGTATATCGTGATTTCATTATGGTTTGATATATTAGAAATTAACATTGTACTGTAGCAGTCATTTTCCTAAAATGTAGGTACTTTAGAAAATAGTTGGCATGTGTTTTCATTTGAATGTGTCAATAAACTAAATATCACGGCATATAATCCCTGTCCAAAAGAAAACGATGCTACTTTCATTTGGCACTGTTTTCGTTTGAATATGTCAATAATTAAGCTAAATATCACGACATATAATCCTTGTCCAATAAGCCAAATGACACGGCACATAATCTTTTGTCTAAATGTCTTTATGGTATTAAGTTCACATTACCTCAACAAGCCTTTTATTTGAAAAATTCTAGGTTTTTATTTCACGTTCCATCTCATTCTATGATGATTGATGGATGTACTTTACTTTGGTAATCATGATGACACTATGAATTCAATTTTTGGGAAGAGGCAAAAGGTTAATTCCTTTTCTTCTTAAGAAATAATGGAGATGCTCTAAACGATATAATGACAATTAAACATTTCAATCTTTTGCTCACTTCCGAATAAATGCAAAACGATTGATAATAATCTCAAACGTTAAAGAAGTCATTGATCATCCCTAATGCATGAAAAAAATCTATTATTCGCTTTTATTCTCTCATCATCAACACTTTAGCTCGTTTCAAATAATTGGGTTCAACCTCAATAATAGGGACGAGCTAAAGTGTTGATGATGAGACAGTACAAGCGAGAAACTTTTCCCGTACTCCAGCCATCGGTGACCGGACCCGCCAAGGATATAA